CCACAAAGAAGCACAAAGTTAGAAAAGAAATAAAAGCTAAATATAAGCCACTCAAAAATAATCTCCACATATATAGGTGCTAAAAATTTCTACAGTTTGTGAGGCTTGAGGAACAAGTTTTTAACCTTTATTTGATACTTGAGCATAGTGATGGTAGATGGAAAGGTAAAGGTATGGTTTCTAAGAAATAAGGGAATAGTAATTAAAGTTAGCATAAAGGTTAAGTGAGGAGAGGAAATTGTAACTACACAATCTAAAGCATTTGACATACACTTGCATTAAGCATTTAGGACATTTTACTTAGCATTCATGCATACCAACCTGTAGGAGGGGAAGAGACAAACATGATTTAGCCTTGTCAGTCAATTCCAAGAATACAATGATAGACTGCATGTCAAGCGAGTGGCTTTCCTCCTATACTTAATATTTCTAAAATAAATGAAAGGAAGTGATTTTATTTCTAAACTGTTACCTTTGTTTGTTTATGCTCTCATTATGTTTTTATAAAATGGAAACAAGAACTATTATTTTCTACTACATGGTTGTTTATTGAAATGTATCCCATGGTTGTTTTGTTAAAATGGTACCATTCACTCAGATAATCTGTTAGATAATCACAGGGATGAATTTGGACCCAAGGTAGTCCTACATGACCTTTAGCTTAGTGAAGGCCCAGAGCATCAATGAGCTATATGTGTTCGTCCATGAGAGTGGTGCACCCATAGTACGAGTCTCACGACTAGTAGCACCCAGCAAATTCAAACTCATATATAATATCAACAAGGATGATTATTTAGATGTATATTTTGGTCTTCGAGCACGTTCAACCCAGACTTACAGGCAGAGCCATTATGATTTTGCTTCCTTCCATCGTTGTTTTACATGTTTTTAACTATGGCTAGATCTGCAAGCTCTACGGGTGACATGATATGGTTTTACTGTGATATTTAGATGATTACAATTATTTTATTACATGAATCTCCTTTATGAATGGATTTATTAAACTTTGTTTATCTACGATGAAAATTGCCATTTATGAAATCTACATGCAGTTTTGGAAAATATACCTATTTTCTTGATTTTAGTTGAAAAATCATTCATAGGGATGACAATTTCACCCCTCCATTTTTCTCCCACATAGATATTAGAAAGACATAACTAGTGACAGTATCCTTAGCATTAGTGCATCTGCATTCCATGCACAATAGTTGGTGGGTATGCTAGTAGGATTTCCTTCATGTTTATTATTTTCCAGTAAATCATATAAACTTATATTGGATATTTCATCTGTGTAAGAGGTCATCCATTGGAATTGGAGTTACACTTGTAGATATTATGATCCAACTAGGACGTATATCTTATTTTGATTGTATATTTGTGTGTGAGCTTGGATATTTACGGATTGTGCATAGGCAAATTTGTGGTCCCATTATTTGGGCTAGATATGCATAGCAGATTATATATGTAGTACTGCCACAAGTGATACAGGTCTTGAGATTAGAGATGCCAAATAGGGTTATAGTAGCCATCATGCTGCTAGGCTTTTAACATGGTAGTGAGTGGTTACTATCCCCCTATCATGCCTCGCTCAAACAAGGATGCAGTGTGACACTGACACTTTATTGTGCTACAAGAAGACACAGGAAAATATCATGCATTGTAACCCCTATCATATCTAACTCAAACCCCAACCTAAATCTAGAACTTGCTTGCAATAAAAAGAAGTAAATAATAAAATAAAATAAAACTCATTTCTTGAAAATGAACATAAGCCACCATAGATAAGCTAATAATTAATGTACATTACTATTCTCAAATTTTTTTGTCCACTCATAGCCATACAAACACTCATTTAACTTTAAATTACCCAGACTGTACAATAACTCTACAATTGCTAATAAGCCCAACCTCAACTAATGTATTCTGATGATGATGGTGTAATGTAGTACACACTATCTAGCCTCCTTGATATTGGCATAATAAAATAAGGGCGTGAGATTACAATCTCAGTAAATGACACACAATCTAAACTTATTAAAAATAAAAGATTTTATAATAAATAGGTACACCAAAACATTCTACATTAAACAAGTCAACATTAAAAGCATAGAAATAATCACATAAATCAATTTATTTTTTTGAGAATATTCCAGTATCAAACCATGATAAAATCATAAGCATAAAAAAAAACTATATAGCATATAGAGCTGTTTTGTGTGCACAATAAAATTTTTAACTGTTAGTCTGGAGCTATAAAATCGTAAAATCTATTAGGGGCTACCGCACTAGACAACAGGTATCATGGGTTACCACTTCATGCTCATGCTATTGTAGCCTTGGTGGTGCATACCCCACTGGGCCGCGAAATAATAATAATCATATAGAACTACCACATACCCTAGTGGCTACCCGATTTATCAAAATTAAGTGCTTTGGCACTAATCACATATTAAGAAATCATAACATAGCTAATTATTTCGATTTTCAAGTTAACATACACTGGTTAAAAATGAATCATTTTTATCAAAACAAATTTTAGAAAAATTATGATATTAGAGATAGTGCCACTACCATACATGTGCTAGCTATTGAGGTCTTGTGGGTCTTGTCCGATATGGGTGTTGCTCTAGCTCACTTTGGAGAATATGAAAATTAAAGCAATGCCATGGATGTTCATGAATGCATGATTTGAAAATAGAAAGTAAACTGATTAAATTCTTAATGCTTGTTGCCCTCACTTAACTTAGGCTTTTAAGCCACTCTTCAGTTATACTGATGCCTTCATCTGGTGGCCATCTTTCTACCCTCTCTTTGCCAATTTCATGGCCTCAATCAAGGGATCGAAAACTACGTCAAAACAGCCTTCAAACCTCACATATTTTGCTCCCAAAATTTCACCATTTCAACACCCCTTGCTTAACTTATGTTTAGTCAACTTCAACCTAGCTTTCAGCCTCCTAATTAGCTTTAATCTTCCACCAAATGCTAATCACTCCTTAAGCCATTAATTAGACATAAACTACAGCCAACATCAATCCATTTTAGGTCATCAAGATGCTCGGTCAACACACAAAAGTTGCTGAATTTTGTTCTAAATTCTTAAATCCTAACCTTAACCTTGTTTCTAGCTTGGTTTCTTAACCTTAATCCATCCTTAAACCCCTCATATGAAACCAACAGCATCTCTCATATTTTTGAGCCTCAAAACTGCCCCAAAACTGAAACAAAAACCGTAGATAGAATCAAAAAATCAAAGCCAAGCATAGCCCTCAATCAATTTCACCAAAACATAGAAAAATCCACATTTTTTGCCTCCTATTGCAGTGCCATTTCCACCCCTCATTTTGGCACTTAATTAACTCCAAATCAAGAAATTAAACTGACTAAATTGAAGAGAAAGTGAAGGTCTGCCATAATGCCTAAGAAAATTAAGCAAAACCTTGCAAAAATACCAAAATCTCCAAGATTTTACCATATTTTGGGTTTGGTTTCCCTCTTGCTTCTTTCTCCTTCTTTGCTGGTTCTTTTCAATAGCTTAAGCTGGTTGCTTGAAGGCTTTTCAATACCCATAAAGGTCGGCCAAACATGAAGCACACGGCTCGCAAGCACTCACCTCACTTGAAGTTACCAAATTGCCCTTGTCACCAAAGATCTATTCCCCTTGTGTCCCCATCACATACTTATTTCCCTAACTTACCGTTTTGCCCTACAACAATCATCTAATGCCACTCTTGCCCATTTGGTTTAATGGTATAAAACTAGGGTTAAGTTATTGATTAACCTCACTAATCTTACTTAATGAAAATTAACCACTTTTGCAACAATTTCTTAAGTTTTCTTCCAAATTTTTGTCTTGCTTTCTAACTCATTTTTACCACCATAAAATGTCCATTCCTTCATGTCTCTCAAAGCCATAGTACTATTATCAAGTTCATAAACAAGAAAAATTACATTAGCTCTTAATTGGTTACATTTTTTACCAAGGATACCATGAATGCCAATTTATGTACAATAATGAAAAAGAATAAAATAATGAAGTAATTGGGGTTAGTTCTAAGTTCAAGATGTTACATACATGTTTTGCACATTTTACAATACATGTTCTAACATGACTAAAATTTCTATTATTATTTATGGAATTTTATACTCACCAGTTTTTCTAACTTTTTCAGATCATAGTGCTAAGCCTTCTTCCCATTTGCATTGCTGAGCAATGGCGTATATTCTAGTCCCATCCGATTACAAGTATAGGTGGTGCCATATATATAATAGTTTGAACTCTAGAGGTCTTCATTTGCTTTTTAGACAAGATGCTTCTATGCATAGGCAGTTTGACTATATATATTATAATGATCTAAAGTATTGTATCAAATGTGATATCTATCTTATTTGAAGTTTATTAGAGTTGGTGATCCAGTTTTAATATTGGTCATATACTTAGTTTTGAGTCACAATATGAATATATATATATATATCACTTTATGTTAATCAATATTAAAATTTAGAAATTTAAGTCAAAATTACCAAACTCCCCATAATCTTTCTCACTAATTCTTTTGTTCAACTTTTCTATTTTTACTATACAAATGAAGTTTAATTGGATGTAATTTAAGATTATATGTTAGTACAAACAATTTACCAAACATCCATTTATTAACTTTCCCTATTTTTTAGCAAAATTTGCAAAACATTTATAACTTCTATACTCTCTAAAATTTAGCATTTTTATAAAAATAGCAACTCCTACAAAGAGTTTTGAAATTTACAACTCGAAAATTACCAAACTCTGGGTAATCTTTTCTCACCAACTCTTTTGTTCTGTTTCCTAATTTTCTTATATGAATGAAGTATAATTGAATGCAATTTTGGATTATATACCGGGCCTTCTGCATTTGTTACCAATAATGTCATCCTAATACAACCATTGCTGCTGCCGCCCCTACTACTAGGGCTACATAAACTTGGTGGTGCCGTAATTCAGGGAAAATAAGAGGTTAAAATTAAATAGGGACAAAAATGGGAGCAGGTGGGACCCACTGCTGGTTCGGGACGCAATCCCATTCCAACCCCGCTTCCTTGGTGGAAGAGAGTGTAAAATGCTTAGGCACCCATGTTTCCCCCTTTGTCTTTCTGGCTCTTACTAGCTCTCTCTCCCTTTCCTCAACCGCTGTCTTTGCTTCCCTGCTTTGTCCCAGCATTTGCTCATGATGTTACGACTTACCTCTGCCACACTGCCGCTGATTCACTTGTCCAGACCTTCTGCCAAATCAAACAAAAAGCAGACATACTCATTACTCAAATTAAAATGTCTTCACGTACATTACTTAATTCATACATATAAATAGCCAACACACTCATATGCAAGCCCGACTAGCAATTCATTTACCATATGCAAAATCTAGAACACCTTAGTTCTCGGCCAAATTGGCACCACTCCACTTATACCTATTAACGGGTTAAATTTGAATTAAATCAAATAAAATCGAATACAATTTCTATTATTTATTTATATATTTAAATTTAATTCAAAATCTTATAAAATTTATATTTATTAATTATATCCAAATCTGATAAATAATCAGACATTTACCAAAAAAATAATTTTTTTGTATTTAAATTCATTGATTCTATTTTACCAATCAGATTAATTCTTGAATTTTCTAATTTATTTTAATTTAATGTCTAAAATATTTGAATTTATTATATATATCAAATTTTTAATAAATTAAATTATTTAATTTTATATGTGATTCGCTAATTTGAATTATAAATATTTATAATCACACTGAGCTATTAATATTTTAATGGATTCAAATTTTAAAATTTAAGTCAAATTTAAATTAAAATTTAATTCATTACAGTCTAACCCCATCTCCTTAATTATGTTGAATTCTCATTTTGGTCTTGCTAGAAATATGTTGTAGTTCTTCTTTCTCAATTTAAAAAAAAAAAAATGAAAGACAGGAAAATGCAAAAAAGTTATGTATTTTCTTTATTTTATAAATAATATATATTTAATTCAATATATAATTTAATAAGTATAATATACTTTACAGTAGATAAAACAAAATCTGTGAGGCTGAGCAAGAAAACTGGATAAGCCTGGGCAATGTACAGATAATAAATATGCTGTATAAAAATATATTACCTCAGACTCTTTGAGCACCGGAGTTTTCAGACCTGAAAGCACTTCCTTGGCATCATAAATCACCGTTTCTTTTCCATTGTTCACATCCTTAATTGTCACAGTTCTACAAATTAATTAAATAATTGATTAAAAAATATATATGACTAGTCAAATTAAGGAATGGCACGTGTATATATATAATTCAATAAAATTTTAAAAATTAATATATAAATATTAAAGAGATGTGGTGGATAGGTGAAGTGGTTCCTGTCCCAGTGACCATTAACTTGAAATATGCTCTGGTTGGGAGAGGGGGAGGACGTAATTGAAAAGATTTTGCCTTTGATGGACCTATGGTTATGACGAATAAAAGAAGAACCCCCTCCAAAACACAAGTCAGCTGCAAGGGAGGTTTCTGGGCAATGAATGGAGCCCACCCAGTGAACCCCCGGCACCGGCAGAAACTTTATTAACAAATTTGGATGATCAATTACGTAATTTTCTTCATGTTTCATCAGTTTAAGCTGCCTCTTTCCATGCACCCCAGCTTCAACTGATGCCCCTGCGTCAATTCACAAAATGTAATTAAATTAATTTAAGAATAATACAAATATAGGAAGAAATTATTCAAGGACTTAAAAGTTAGGGAACATTACCATGCCGAACAGCTTGGTAATTTGAATGACATTTGGAATTAAAATGTAAAATATTTTTATTCAAGAAAAAAAATTACTCATTTAAGAATATTTTACATCTTGAATAAAAATATTCTATTTTTTGACCCTCAAATGTGATTAAAATTACGGCTGGGTAATTTCCCCTTAAAGTTAAGTAACAGGTACACCAACCATTGAACTTGGGAGTAAGACGATGGCACCATATCATGTCAATGCCCTGTAACTGGTCGGTGGCATGAAGGGCAGAAACAGGTGGATGGTGAGAAACCTGTTCGAGGAGGACATTGAGAGAGCCCCTCGAAACATGGTGAGTCTCTCCAAGAATTGGATTGTAAGGGGAAACACCAAACATGAGAGGACGGGTGGTGGAGATGCTCCACGCTACCACTCCTATAAACCTTTCCATTGGGCTTTTCCCCTTGGCACACTCACTCAGCAAGTCTTTCCCTGTACAATATACCGACTCGCCATAGCATTGAAGCATTGACTTTGGGATGTTAAAGGTTGGAGGCACCTGCAATATGCATCCATACAATAATTAATACTAAAAGATTAATAGAGAATTGTTAAATAGTTTGACTTTCTCAACCCTAAAACTTAATTTATAGAATGAGACTTTTTCTCACACGTACATACTAATCACCAATTCCAATGTGAGATATACGAATAATTCTCATTCACATATTCAGTGGAAACAAACACAAATACGAGGAGATAATACGTGATTTTTAATACCAGAATTAGGTGTCTTAAGCCTTTTCAATTCCAAAAGATAACTTAAAAAGTGAAATTTTCATTCACACATACCACCAACCCCTTTCAAAATCGATATAAGATACCCCAATAAGAATTACATTAAAGTTCAAAATAATTAGTCTTATGTTTTAGTGAGGAGGAATGAGATCGGTGCAGTCCCTGTGTGGCACTGAAAATTCTAACTTTGGCACATTAATAATTTCCCAAATCAATGGAAGGTTGGTCAAGAGTCTGCTCTTGCAATCCCTTCCAAGAGAGCAAGAAGGCAAAACCAATTGGAAAGCAAAAGTGAAGGAAATCTGCTCATGTTCAGGCGAATTCCAAAACCAGTCTACTCATTTATCTCAGGCTAAAGAAGATGAAATCCTTATGCTACTTTCTCGTGGCTGCTCAACACTTGACAGTGCATCGTCGCTGCGTGCCTTCTATGCTGCAAACTGCGGGAAGCTATCCTATGACTCCTTGGTCAACTATGGTTACGTTGTTTTCCTAGTACTTTCACCCATCTCTTAATTGTATGTTAAATATTCTAGGTAAGGTAGGTGTTACGTATCTCTTGAACTGTTAGTTCTGTTTGCTAGTATTTATTTGATATTAGAGGTTGATCTAATAAATTAGTAATTATAATTTCTATTAAATCATTATCAAACATTAATTTTAATACTGATCTAATATATATTAAGGATTTATCCAATGGACAAGGATTCAATATCAAATTAATGATTTTTTGTAGCTGCTAAGCAGGGGAGAGCTCTTGTTGGACATGTATCTAATATGTAGTGTTTCCATTTGAAGTTTCTTTGCTTTAATATGTATTCAACAGTTACAAATTTGCAAGCCAATTTCTTTATTTTTCTTCACCCATAATATTAATATATCACATACACCATTAACCTAGTCCTACTCATTAGGATCATACCTGGGCACCACCTTCCATTCTTCTAATATCCCTACTATTGATTCACTTATTTCCCTTCCTACTTCAGGTATCAAATATGTCCTATAAAATAAATTTGTTTCATATTGGGTCTTGAGCCATCAGATAGCATCTATTAAATCAATATTAGTATCAGTATTTAACACCAATCAAATAGATCTTAAAACAATTAAATCATTAGATCAGTTCTTAATATCAAATACAAACATAAAATGTAACATGAATTATAATCAAATATTTGTCTTGTAACCATATTGGTCTTTTTGAGTGAATCAGACTAGCAAGTAAGAAATCTTTATCAAACTTAGCTCATGGAAACTAATCAATAACAGATAATTGAAATTGATTGACAGGGATCTACTATGACTCCATTTATACTGTGCCATAAATAAGTTTTTAACACGAACCTACTAGAAGAGAGCCAAAAGACAGAAGGAATTCTAACTAACTACTAGTCCTTTTTTTTCCCGTGCAAGAAGTAAGAATCTAAAAGTAGCAGTGGCCAAAATGCATATATAGAATATAGTATATATGAGATGGGAGCAAGTTACCGGAAAGTGGGTGAGATCGGCTCCAGGATGGATATTTTTCAAAAGACTAAGAATGCGTTGTAGAAGATTTGGGACCTTATAATAATCTTGGCTGCTATCAGACTCCGACTCTAACTTGAGAGGTGGCGTCATTACCACTAGAGGTTGAGATTGAAGTTGAGTTGCTATCGAGCCCTCCATCATTTCACTTGTTCCAAGGTCACTGTGGACATTAAGCTCAACATGTTTGTTGTCATAACTTTCTGTAGTATATACCCTCCATCTTTCTTCATCATCTGATTCACTCCATAGATACAAACAATAAGAAATATATATAGAAAAGATAAAAATAACATTTTTTGTTTTATTTGTCCCATATATAGCATGCTTATACACCATCACATACACACACAAGGCAAATTAAAATAAAAAAATACAGAATAAGATGACTTTAAATTGAAATAAGGAAGTTGAACCCTCCTTGGAACTTGATTTTTTTTTTTTTTTTTTTATGCTGAGTACTGTCCATCACACTTCATATAAATAAGTGAAATTTATCACACTAACGTGTGAATCTCATCTCTGCACGCAAGTGGTAAGTACAAGGCTCTTATTACCACTATCAATATTTAAAGTTAAAAGAGTAAGAAAGATTAAACTATAAATAATACTTGGAAGAAGGCACCATTTAAAGTCCGGTAAATTAAGTAAAATTTATTTCTCTAACGTGTGAATCTCATCTATCCACGCAAGTAATGTGCAAGGCTCATCATGTACGTACCATCAATATCTAAAATTAAAAGGAACTATAAGTGACACGTGGAAAAAGGCAACATTTAAAGTATGAGAAATTAGAATTTCCCTCGTCCTATTTCAGGCACCTCCACTTTCAACGTAACCCCAATACAACTACCCATTTAATACAAATTGTCAGTATCTGTGTTACGATTAAAAGAAAAATAAAAAATATTTAATCGATAAATATTGAAAAGAAAAAGGCTGGAACATGCTTTCAGAACATAATTTGATTCTCGTCTTGTATACAAATCCATTTCCAGCGTTGTCTAGAAACAAAAAGGGTTGGTTTTATAATTTTGTTTAAAACGAAGCTTCTACTTGGGGCCGTGGCCGGGGCCGGCAGACGTCAAAGAGAGGTCCCCGGAAGCATCCACAAAGGGAGCGGCCAAAGGTTTTAATTATATAATATAATCTAATCTACGTTTATGAACTATGACTAAAAGTCACAAACAAAAGAAGGATTAAGTGGGTGACTCTCCGGTCCTACAACTCTTTCTTCAGACAGCTTGAGGTGGTACTTTGTCGAACTGCAGGCCCAAAGAATTCAATAGCATTGATTTAGCTACATGAAATTATCACACTTGTATCCTCGCATTTCAGCAATTAATAGTGTTCTGCCCAACTTCCACCTAGAATTTGTAAATAAAAAATTAAACGATTATAAAATTCTTTTCATCCGCGTTTCTTGCGTGAGGGAACCGGGTCCCGCTCAGACTGCACAATTTTCTGTTCCAACGGCTAAGTTTAATGCTACGTAAAGTTATTCAACAAATCGAATCAAATTGATTAAATCACATAAATTAAATTAAATCAAATCGTATAAAATTGAACTAAATCATAGAGTGTGGTTTGATTTGAATTTGATATTTAAACAAATTATATAAACAGAATCAAGCCGTATAATTTATATACATACAAAATTAAAAATCTTGTCTTTATATATATAATATATTTTTATTATTTGATATATATTTTTTTTGTTATATTTTATATTTATATTTATTTAATAATTGATTATTTTTCTTTTTTAAAGTATAATTTCTATTAGTAATAGTGAAATTCTATAAAATGGTATAAATATATTTATTATAAAATATATAACTACTATAATTAATTAATAAATAATGAATTTATTAAGTTAAATATGTTGAGAAAAAAATAGATAATCAATTTTTAGGAAAACTATGTTAAAATTTTTACAAAAATAATGAATTTAATTTATTTTATTTTGTAAATCACAAACCGTGATTTGAAACTGAACCAAACGTAAACCGTGATTCGGTTTGATTTATAAAAATTTCAAACCGTAAAGTATGATTTGATTTGAATTTAACTATCAAACCGCACCAAACCGAACCACGGTTTGAAAACTGGATAAGCCTGGGCAATGTACAAATAATAGATGTGCTGTATAAAAATAAATTAACTCAGACTCTTTGAGCACCGGAGTTTTCAGACCTGAAAGCACTTCCTTGGCATCATGAATCACCGTTTCTTTTCCATTGTTCACATCCTTAATTGTCACAGATCTACAAATTAATTAAATAATTGATTAAAAAATATATATGACTAGTCAAATTAAGGAATGTCACGTGTATATATATAATTCAATAAAATTTTAAAAATTAATACATAAATATTAAAGAGATGTGGTGGATAGGTGAAGTGGTACCTGTCCCATTGACCATTAACTTGAAATATGGTCTTGTTGGGAGAGGGGGAGGACGTAATTGAAAAGATTTTGCCTTTGATGGACCTATGGTTATGACGAATAAAAGAAGAACCCCCTCCAAAACACAAGTCAGCTGCAAGGGAGGTTTCTGGGGAATGAATGGAGAGTCCGCCCACCCAGTGAACCCCTGGCGCCGGCAGAAACTTTATTAACAAATTTGGATGATCAATTACGTAATTTTCTCCATGTTTCATCAGTTTAAGCTGCCACTTTCCATGCACCCCAGCTTCAACTGATGCCCCTGCGTCAATTCACAAAATGTAATTAAATTAATTTAAGAATAATACAAATATAGGAAGAAATTATTCAAGGACTTAAAAGTTAGGGAACATTACCATGCCGAACAGCTTGGTAATTTGAATGACATTTGGAATTAAAATGTAAAATATTTTTATTCAAGAAAAAAATTACTCATTTAAGAATATTTTACATCTTGAATAAAAATATTCTATTTTTTGACCCTCAAATGTGATTAAAATTACGGCTGGGTAATTTCCCCTTAAAGTTAAGTAACAGGTACACTAACCATTGAACTTGGGAGTAAGACGATGGCACCATATCATGTCAATGCCCTGTCACTGGTCGGTGGAATGAAGGGCAGAAACAGGTGGGTGGTGAGAAACCTGTTCGAGGAGGACATTGAGAGAACCCCTTGAAACATGGCGAGTCTCTCCAAGAATTGGATTGTAAGGGGAAACACCAAACATGAGAGGACGGGTGGTGGAGATGCTCCATGCTACCACTCCTATAAACCTTTCCATTGGGCTTTTCCCCTTGGCACACTCACTCAGCAAGTCTTTCCCTGTACAATATACCGACTCGCCATAGCATTGAAGCATTGACTTTGGGATGTTAATGGTTGGAGGCACCTGCAGTATGCATCCATACAATAATTAATACTAAAAGATTAATAGAGAATTGTTAAATAGTTTGACTTTCTCAACCCTAAAACTTAACTCCTAAAATGAAATTTTTCTCACACATACATACTGATCACCAATTCCAATGTGAGATATACCAATAATTCTCATTCATATATTCAATGGAAGCAAACGCAAATACGAGGAGATAATACATGATTTTTAATACCAGTATTACGTACCTTAAGCCTTTTCAATCCCAAAAGATAACTTATAAAGTGAAATTTTCATTCACACATACCACCAACCCCTTTTAGAATCAATATAAGATAACCCAACAAAAATTACATTAAAGTTCAAAATAATTAGTCTTATGTTTTAGTGAGGAGGAATGAGATCGGTGCAGGAATCTAGTCCCTCTATGTGGCACTGATAATTCTACCTTTGGCACATTAATAATTTCCCAAATCTGACATTGGAAGGTTGGTCAAGAGTCTACTCTTCCAATCCTTTCCAAGAGAGAAAGAAAGCAGAACCAATTGGAAAGCAAAAGTGAAGGAAATCTGCTCATGTTCAGGCGAATTCCAAAACCAGTCTACTCATTTATCTCAGGCTAAAGAAGATGAAATCCTTATGCTACTTTCTCGTGGCTGCTCAACACTTGACAGTGCATTGTCGCTGCGTGCCTTCTATGCTGCAAACTGCGGGAAGTTATCATATGACTCCTTGGTCAACTATGGTTACGTTGTTTTCCTAGCACTTTCACCCTTCTCATAATTGTGTGTTAAATATTCTAGGTAAGATAGTTGTTGCGTAGCCCCTGAGCTGTTAGTTCTTTTTACTAGTACTTGTTTGATATTAGAGATTGACCTAATAAATCAGTAATTATAATTTCTATTAAATCAGTATCAAATATTAATTTTACTACTAATCTAATACATGTTAGAAATTTATCCAATGTATAAGGATTCAATATCAAATAAATGATTTTTTGTAGCTGCTAAGCAGGGGAGAGCTCTTATTGGACATGTATCTAATATGTATTGTTTCCATTTGAAGTTTCTTTGCTTTAATATGTATTCAACGGTCACAAATTTGCAAGCCAATTTATTTTTCTTCACCGATAATATTAATATATCACATACACCATTAACCTAGTCCTACTCATTAGGATCATACCTGGGCACCACCTTCCATTCTTCTAATATCCCTACTATTGATTCACTTATTTCCCTTCCTACTTCAGGTATCAAATATGTCTTATAAAATAGATTTGTTTCATATTAGGTCTTGAGCCATCAGATAATGTTTATTAAATCAGTATTAGTATCAGTATTTAACACCAATCAAATAGATGCTAAAGCAATTAAATCATTAGATCTGTTCCTAATATCAAATACAAACATAAAATGTAACATAAATTATAATCAAATATTTGTCTTGTAACCATATCGGTCTTTTTGAGTGAATCAGACTAGGAAGTAAGAAATCTTCATCAAATTTAGCTCATGGAAATTAATCAATAAAAGATAATTGAAATTGATTAATAGGGATCTACTATGATTCCATTTATATTGTGCTATAAATAAGTTTCTAACACGAACCTACTAGAAGAGAGCTAAAAGACACACTACCAGAAAAAATACATTTTGTGACCGCATGATCGGTCACTAATTTCAAAGAGCAGCGGTCATTGAATAAATCAGTGACCGCATTTGTGACCGCCTCGATCGGTCAGAAAAACCCTCGTAACTTATCGGTTTTATGACGAAGCGGTCACTAATCAGTGACCGAATAAAATCGGTCACTAATTAGTGATCGTAGTAATCGGTCACTATTGCAGTCACTAATTAGTGACCACCATTACTTCGGTCACTAAATAGTGCCGCAGTTTTCCATCATTAATCAGCGACCAAAAAACATGTAGTCACTAATTAGTGACCAATATGGCGGTCACTAATTAGTGACCGATTGCGGCGGTCACTGATTAGTGACCAATTCTGGCGATTATTGATTATTTTAGTGACCCTTCTTACAACAAAATTAGATACACATTTAGTAACCGAGAATGCGATAAGTAATCAGTGACCACAATTTTTTTGTCACTAGTTAGTCACTATTTAGTAACCCCCATTGAACCTTATATCCTAACTACGTGCAAGGTCACAATAGGGTCACTAATTTTGTGACCTCCTTGTGACCCATCGTAAGGGTCACTGATGCTGTAATTGCTGTAATGCATATATATCATTTCAATTCCTATAATGCATTATAAAAAATTCCTGTAATCCATTTGTATCATCTCAATTGTTATTCACCAGTAGCATACATGAAAAGTAATGAAACATCATTGTACAATTAGTTTGAAATGTCAAAATCATTAATAATACAATTTGATAAGTATTTTGGAACATAAAAAATGAAATAAGAATGTAAAGTATTAAAACATAACAATGTTAAACTGTAACTTCACTGCTTATTGCTTTCTCCAATGCTTTGATTTTGGGTTAATGATCCACCTTGCATTGTATTAAACTTTTCCATCATTGCAGCCATCATAGCCTCCTCCTTGGCCTTCATTGCCTCCTCTCCGACCTTCAGTGTCTCTTCTGCTAATTTCTTGGCCTCCTGAAGCACTTGTGCCTCTCTTGATGCTACTGCTTGTCTCTCCTCTACAAGTGTTTTAGCAATTGTCTCTAGTAATTGATCCAAACTGACATATCGAATAAGAGGTGCTATAGAGATGGATTCAGATGAACTGCCAATAGAAGCAAGCTCTCTACAATGATAGGTATTCCCAAAACCATAAATTCGATTCTTGCAAGGCCCACCACAGATTGCAACCCATTTCTGTGCATCAATGAGTTTTCTAGAGTAGGATTGCTGCCATATTAACTGCAATATGAGTGGTCATACTCCTCCTAGAAATAAATCAATGACAAGTAATCACATTACCTGATAAGACTAGAATAGAAGAATTAAAAAAAATAGATTTTGGTTAAAAAGACAAACAGAACTGTGCTTGTAACTCGACTGCGATATTCTTGTAACCAGTCGGAACTATGTTTGTAACGGAACAGGTCTAAGCCCTAAGCATCCATTGGTTCAGTTACAAGCAGGGTTTCGTTTATTTACAAGCAAATCTCGGTTCAGTTCCAAGCATATCTCCTTTCAGTTACAAGCATAGTTTTGTACGGTTACAATGAGAGGCCCCTATAGTTACAAGCACATTAAAAGTTCAGTTATGTACATATATCTTCATTGATAAAACGAAGTTTAATCCTAGTCACACAAGCAACCATTGTTTCAGTTACAAGCAGATCTCAGTTCAGTTCCAAGCATATCTCCTTTTAGCTACATGCAAATATGTCCCTCTATTCAACCAAACTATGACCAATTTTTAGAGGTAATGACTTGTTCAGTTATAAGCATAGTTTTGTACGGCTACAATGAGAGGCCCCTATACTTACAAGCACATTAAAAGTTCAGTTATGTGCATATATTTTCATGTACTGTGACGAAGTTTAATCCGAGTCACACAAGCAACCATTGTTTTAGTTACAAGCAAGACTCTGTTCAGTTACAAGCAGATCTCAGTTCAGTTCCAAGCATATCTCCTTTCAGTTACATGCAGATATGTCCCTCTATTCAACCAAACTAGGACCAACTCTTAGAGGTAATGACTTGTTTATTTACAATTATAGTTTTGTACGGTTACACTGAGAGGCCCCTATAGTTACAAGCACATTAAAGTTCAGTTATGTGCATATATCTTCATTGATAAAACGAAGTTTAATCCCAATCACAGAAGCAACAATTGTTTCAGTTAGAAACAGGATTCTGTTCAGTTACAAGCAGATCTCAGTTTAGTTCCAAACATATCTCCTTTCAGTTACATGCAAATATGTCCCTCTATTCAACCAAACTAGGACTAACTCTTAGAGGCAATGACTTGTTCTGTTACAAGCATAGTTTTGTACGGTTACAATAAGAGGCCCTTATATTTACAAGCACATTAAAGTTCGGTTATGTGCATATATTTTCATGTGCTGTGATGAAATTTAATCCCAGTCACACAAGCAACCATTATTTCAGTTACAAATAGGACTCTGTTCAGTTACAAGTAGATCTCAGCTTAGCCTCATATAATAGGTATTAAAAGCTATTGGAAACTTATTTGCCTAAACGAAGTATATAAGCCACATTCTAATTTAAGAAGTAAGTCACCTTCAAATTTAAGAATCACATGATATAATAGGTCTAGTGGAAAATCAAATGTTTTAAGCACTTTATCTGGAATAGTAGCAGCATAAAAAAACATATATCTGCTGAAAATTATGGTAGTGAATTTTAATATATTGTGAATTTGGCATTGAAACCTTACTCGAACCCTCTTCGAGTTGTTGACGACATAATCACCCTCTCCTTGTTTTCTCCGGGGAGTACAGTCATGGACTGCAACTTGGCTGACCCTCGTCTCCCCTTGCTCCTAGTGTATTATTAATTCATTAAGTGAATAATTTATATAAATAAATGTAACTGAACTGTGACTATGATAAGAAATTTACCATTCTACGTTTGTGCTCAGCAAATGAAATGGAACCGCCAGTGTGCTTTACAATTGATCTATCTTTTTCAGTCAATCTATTCTCTCTGGCTTTTATGCACTTATTCTAATAGTTTAGTGCATTCATCCAGCTATTACAGATTACCTCCTAGTCAGTGGCGAGCATTTGTGCTCTTATAATTTATCTTGTGGGTTTGCTCCCATGAGTGTTGTATACCGATATCATGGTGTGGTAACTACGTGTACATCTCCTATCAAAATTAGAATAGTTTTTTTAAATTACAAATATGTAAATTAGAGATTCTTGTTATGTTGAACAAATATTTGTTTGGATATATATAGTATCACCTTAAATTTATTAAATAAGTTGTCTTTCCTATCCTGAAGGACTTGCTCTCATGTTGCATGTGGCCCTAGATACCTCCTAAAAATGGAGATTATTTGGCGAGTGACACCTTCGGGAATGAAGCTGTCAAATGCAAATTGAATGAAGTTTAGTTGCAGCAATATGTAGATAAGTTAGGACTAAATAATAAAATTAGACCAAGTTAGAAGCAAAGTTTACCCATCATGAAATGGTTTGATATGTTGGCGGCCATCAATATGGGTAGGTTCAAAACTCACAGATTCAGGCTGACCTGCATGTGATGTGCTGGGAGGAGAAAGGTGCCAATATGTTCAACACTAGATGGAGAGGGCTAGCCCACAATTGTAGCACTCGACGATGTATCCACCGTCCACCTACCGGCCTCTAACTCGTCTCGAATATGGAATTCATCAGCTGCTTGGTCAAACGTCTGAGGCACTTGGTCAGTAGTATGCCTGTCACCAAGTCCACGCCCACCTCTACCACGCCTACCAAGTTCCCAGCCTCCACTAGAAGACATCCTAGACATACAGCATGCATTGCCAGTGTAATCTTTTTCATAAATCCAAATTTTGACAGTTGACAAGACAAAGAATAGAGGTTACCTAATTGGCTTTGTTAGGTGAAATGGAGTAGCAGATAGCTGGATGAGTTAATACAACATATTGTGTAAGTTAATACTGAAGCATATTGTGTGAGTTAATACTGAAAAGTTCAATAAAATCACATTAACAATTCAACAAACAAAAAAATAAACCTTGGACAGCTTGTCGAACTTGAAACAAAAACTAAATATTGTAAACATATAAGGAAAATGGGCATGTATAGCAGCATAATTAGA